TCCATTTATGGGCTCAAGCAAGCATCTCGACAATGGTATTTCAAGTTTCATCATGTGATCACCTCGTGTGGTTTTGAAGTGAATTTAGTTGATGATTGTATATATATACCATAAGTTTTGTGGGAGCAAGTATATTTTTCTGGTTTTGTATGTTGATGATATTTTTCTTGCCAGCAATGATACAAATTTATTGCATGAAACCAATAGATTTCTATCTAAGAACATTGAGATGAAAGATCTTGGTAATGCATCTTTTGTATTGGGCATACAGATACACTGAGATCGTTCTCAAGGTACTCTTGGGTTGTCTCAAAAAGGTTATATCGAAAAGGTTCTCAAGAGATATGGCATGCAAGATTGCAAACCAAGTAATACCCCTGTGGCTAATGGAGACAAGTTTAGTCTCGTTCAGTGCCCTAAGAATGACTTTGAAGAAAAGGAGATGCAAAAAATTCCTTATGCATCAGCAGTAGGAAGTCTTATGTACACTCAAGTTTGTACGTGTGCAGATATTGCGTACGTTATAAGGATGTTAGGTAGATATTTTAGTAATCCTGGATTGGATCATTGGAAAGCAGCTAAGCAAGTCATGTGGTACTTAAAGAGAACAAAAGATTATATGCTCATATATCAGAGGTTGGATCAACTTGAGATCATTGGGTATATTGACTCCGATTTCGCTAGATGCCAAGACAGTATGAAATCTACATCAGGCTATATAACATGCTAGCTGGAGGTGCTATTTCATGGAAGAGTTCTAAACAATCTCTTATAGCCTCTTCTACTATGGAAGCTGAATTCATAGCGTGTTATGAGACATCTAATCATGGAATTTGGCTACGAAACTTTGTCACAGGCTTGCGTATAGTAGATGGTATAGAAAGACCACTTAAGTTATTTTGTGATAATAAATTAGCAGTTTTATTTTCCAACAACAACAAAAGCTCAACAAAGTCTAAACACATAGACATCAAGTTCCTAGTTGTTAAAGAAAGAGTTCAAAGTAAACAATTGTCTATAGAAAATATTGGCACAAACTCCATGGTTGCGGATCCGCTTACTAAAGGATTACCACCCAAAATGTTTCATGAGCACACTGCTCATATGGGTGTTATGTCTTAAAGTGATGTTCAGTTTTAGTGGGAGTTAGTAATTTTATGAATGCTTCTATGACATAGACATATTTTTCAATATATGTATGGTTCAAGTATATTTTCTGCAGAAATAAAGTTTTGATATATTGAAACTTTGATTTTGTCATGGTTTGATCTCACTAAGGTTTAAGGAGGACCTATTGGAATTAGGCATGTTAAGATCACATTACATGAAAATTCCATACTACACATCCATATCATGATTCATGTTATTCATTTGTATCGATATATGTGACCATTGATGGGTTTAGTTACGAAAAATTAAATGTAATAAAGACTACTTTGATCCTATGTTGGTATGATTGATGAACTGAATTGGTAAAAGATGCATTTTATAATTATATAATTGTAAGGTTACACATATAGTCCAAGTGGGAGATTATTGGATCCTTAATCCAACGTTGGTCTTATATGTGAATAATTATATATTAAAGACACATAATGTTAAATTAAAGTGATCTAATGACATATAAATTATTTTTTCATTTATTCATCTAAAAGGTTATGGGACCTTTAATGTGTGGTAACTAAAGGGTAATTTTATTTTGTGATAAGTTAAAATAGAAATACCAAAAGACCTTTGTGACTGTCTATAAATAGGTTAGGTCCCCAGATCACACTACGTTCTTTTCTTTCTGACATCCCATTATCAGAGAGAGACAAAGAGATAATTAAAGGGTTCTCTCAAGAGAGTACGTGTTGATCTGGAAGGCCAAACTGCACAGCTCTCTTATCATTATGAATTCAGGTACGCTTCCGCTTGTTGTTTCTAGTGATTAACATGATAGATATTATATTTTATATAGAGGATAATTTTCATCAAAAGCTTAAATTCAGTTTTTAACAAGTTGGAGTTTTATCTCGATAATATACGTAAATGTATATTAATAAGACCTGCATTAAATGTATTTATATAATATTGAGGTAAAACTTCAACTTTGACCGGAGAAAACACTAGATATACCTAAGAAATTGTACTTAAGTTATGTCCTTTTTCATTCCCTTTTCAAATATTTAAAAAAACTAAGAATAACAATATTTTAATATATTGAGTGTCATTTTTACACACTATAGTGGATTTGAAATCCTTTAATAGATTAAGAAAAGAAATTGAGATGAACTATGTTATAAATTTATTAATTTAACTATTTTTTGACAATATATCAATTTAGTTGATGTTAAAAATTTTATTTACTTTAAAAAAAAATTAATTTTTATATAAAAAAAAAACTCATTGAATATCCGATAATCCAAATCAAACTAACATAATCAACATTGAATTGTTTCAATTTGAGTTAAGTAAAAAAAATTAATAAAATATAAATCAATTCAAATTAATTAATTTAATTTTAAATTTTCACCCAAATCTAAATCAATTCCACTCGGAAACATCCTAACTATTTTGTACCAAAAACCTATACTCCATTTTTTCTTTAAATTGATCGTCCTCTTAAGTTTGAGCCATTACAATCATTTAAGTAAGACTTTATTTTATTTCGTATCAAATTTTGTCTTGCGGAAAAACTATATCAAGTGGGTTGATTAGTGCTTTCAAAAGTAATTTTTGGTTGTTGTAATCCTATAAATTTGTAGTTTAATTTAATTTTTCTAGTGTAAATAAATTATATATTATTATCTTATAATATATATTATAACATGGCTTGATAATTTTAATAACTCGTACTTTTATTTTTATTATATAATCTGATGTTATATTATAGGATAATATAATATTTATTTTCCAATAAGAAATAAATTAATAATTTTATTAACATTAGTCTTAAAGATTTATTCTAAAAGTGAAAATTAATTAATATTATATCTTAACAAACTTATCACCAATTAATTCATAAAGAAAATAGTTTTTTTTTTTTTTCATTTTAAGACTTAACATGAATCATCCGTTTTCAAAAAGCTCTAATATAAGCGTTATAGATAAACAAAATTAGGCTCGATTATATTTTATATAAGGAAAATGTTTAAAACAAAAAAAGGGAGAAATACTTTATATAAATTTAGAATATGTAAACTAAAAAAACCAAAATTGGAAAGTGTTGAAAAATATAAAAATTAGAGGGAAAAATGACAAACCTACTAATAATCATTATTAATTTGAATATTTTGAACCCATTAAGACCAACCTACTAACAAGGAATTTGTGTAATTTACTCAAAATTCTATTTTGAAATTTACCGTAGTTAAAGAAAATCAACTAATTGTAATAAATTTGTTTGCTTTTGAAAAAAGAAAAACATATTAGTAAAATAGTATAATGTTGACAACAGGTTTAAATATAAAGTTATGTATATATTACTTCAATTTTTATTGTTAGATTGATTTTAATAATTTAAATGTATTTATTTTATTTTAATTAGTAGGAGAAAAAAGTATTTGGTATTTCTACAATTTCTTATGAGACTTTGAAAGAAAATGAATTTAACCAAAATAAAATTAATTAAAATTTGAAAGTAAGTATCTTTAAAAACTATAAAATGTTTAGTATGAATTTATGGGTAAAACTATCTTATTAAAAAGTAAAAAGTTAAAAAGTAATTACTAAAATGTATTCTTAGTAACATGTATACTCTAGTTTTATAACACACTATATGGTAATACGAAAATAAATAAATAAATAAATAAATATTTCATGTGCTTGAGCAACAAATGCATTGGAATGGCAATGGTGTGGTGTTGCTGTTACTCTCTCTCTCACATCACACCATTACCCCCAATAGTCTCTTTCAAGTACAAAAAGTGGGGTTCAATTTCAACCCTTCTAGATTCTTTTAGCACACCCACAAAACCAAATCCACTGAACATGGACACAAACAACCTTGTTGCATTAAAACAGAAATTTCTCAGCAATATTCATTTGCCAAGCATATTTTACTTTTCGGTCACGTTTTATGTAAAATTATTTCCATTAAAATAATCATATATTATTTTAAAAACGCTCTAGAAATTAGGAAGGAAAACTCTCTAAAATATTAGAAGTAGAAAATTTTCGATAAAAGGACACCCACATCAATGTCACAATATTATGTTGTTAGGTAAAACACTATTTGTATCTCATCATCTCCCTGATCATTTAGTATTTGAAAGTAAGAAAATTATAAATAAAAAAGTCCTTAAAAATTATAATTGTTTCAATTAAATTCATAAAAGTAATTATTTATTATATTTTAGTTTTGAAATATAAGTTAATATTATTATGGGTGAAATATGCTTATCATTAAAAAATATCTCAGGTGTAATCTAGTTGTTCTAATTTTTTTCATACTTTAAGTCTCTGATTTTAAAATACACTACTTTTGATCTTAAAATAATTTAAATAACGTTTTATAATTATTTCTAAGAACTATCTAAAATATTTTGGGATTAAAAGTGGTGCATTTTTCAATTAGAGGGATTAAAATAAGATAAAAAAAAAAGGTTAAATAAGGGGTTAAAACCAAATTTCAATAATTTTAGAAGACTAAAAACATATTCTATCCCATTATTATTTAAGTCACATGCATGTTTTTTTTTTTTAAATTTTGGATTAGAGTGAATAATGTTTTACACTTTGAAGGATGTTTTTAGAATTTTTATACTTTCGAGAACTAAAATACCGACAACATACAATTTCATGACTCTAATAGTATTTTACCCTTAATTAATTTCTTTATGAACATAAGAGATGAACATTTCATTTAAATGTATAGGAAGGAGTCAATCAGAAGGGAAAGTGACACAAAGAAAGGAACTAATGTTGAGTGGAAGAGAGTGGGTATGTGGATTTGCTTCAAAGCTTACCAAACATGATTACAACACTGAACTTACATTTTACTCAAAGCTCATACATCCAAAACCGGTTGAGGGTCTCAAATTGTATATGTCAGTTCACTTTAACACAACTAAAAATCAAAATCTCACAAGAGAGGTAGAGAGAGTTTTATGAGAATGGCATGCATAGAGAGAGCATCTCCAGCACTGAAGCAATTACTGCTCAAACTTTACTGGTAAGAAGAGCTTATATATGAAATTTGAGTAAGTTTAGGAAACACTGCTATGTTTGCTAGGCCTTATCTTTTACACATATTTTTAATTTTTTAGATTTAAGGATCATGCATTATCTTATATTGTCAATCAATCAAAATTCATTATTAATATGACTTTTTAAGTAACTATTGTAAAAATCAATAAATATTGTAATTGGATGATATTCTAGAACTATTTTACATTATTGGTGTATTTTCTATTTTTTTTTTTAAAAAATTCCTAGGATGCAGCACATGGTTGAGTTGGCACTTTTAAGGTAGCTATAGTAATAAAAATCAAAGAACATTATGATTGGATGATACTCTAAAACCATTTTATGTTATTGGTTGTGTTGTCTATTTTCTTTTAAAAAATTTCCTAGGATGCAGCATAAGGTTGTGTTGGCTGTATATTTGTATTTTTTGTTTTTTCTTTTCTTTGGTTTGTTTTTGTGTAAGGGAATGTGGCAAAAGATAAAGAATAATAGTTTTCGTAATGGAATTAATATATCATTATTTGTTTGTATTTGGAAATAAATGTTTTTAAATAAAAATTTGACCTGCATATGAGTATGACACGCGAGATTGATAAATAAGTTCAGCTGCAATAGTTTTTCATATTTGATTGATCAAAGGGGCAATTTATTAACACGATCCTAGTTCTTTTTATGCCTGATTAAATCTTACTTTAATATCTCTAGCTAATTAAGAAGTGTTGGATGATTCTCTACATCACATTTAGGAGCAAATCTTTTTCTTCTAAAAAGTGGTCCTCGCTTTATTTAATAATTGATTTAAACATACATATTCTTTTAAGTACATTGTGTAAAAGATACAATGTGTGTTAATTATTTTGAATGTGTCATATCCGATTTTTTAAACATAAGTAATTTCCTACAAACTTTATTTTATTATCTTTTTTTTTTTTTTGCTACAACAAAAGAAACAAAAATGATATTATGCTGGATCTGATAGCTCAGAATAATTAAGCTATTAGTATTGAAGTATCTGAAATGCAAATGAAAAACAAGTCTTATCATATTCTTCAAGGGAAAAAAAAAAGTTTAGTTGAAACATCACGTGTTACCAAAAACATGAAAGTTGCAGTATATCTCCCTTCTGACAGCACTAATGTTTGATGTGATTTTGGTAGACATAAGATGCATTTTCCAGGTAAGAAAATCATGGTTGTATCTGCTGAAAATCTCATTGATTGGAAGAAGTTGAAATATCATCACCAGATTTGATTTGTTGTTGCTTTTGAAGTTTTTATTTTATTTTTTATTTTTTTATAGATTTGGTTGGGATTACTTTCAGCGAAATAATTTTGTTAATTTCACAGAAACAGATAATTAACTTTTGAAAGTAAATGAGAAAAATACATTCCCAATTAATTACATAATCTAAGTATAATAACCCCTCTTCCTTTTTTTTCTTTTTTGGTGAATAATAACCCCTCTTCCTAAATCATTTGATGTTAGTATTTGAAGTTGACAAGGTAAATATTAAGTGGATCCCTTCGTTTAGTATTTGTGCTGTTACAACAGCAAACGCGTACAGATCATGATAAGAAAGTTTCTCATCATTATGAATATAGTACTATGTAAGTGCTTGTCTATGTCATGACAGTGCAGAGAAGCCCCTGGAGATTGATCATCACTTAAATGAATTTGGGTCAGTGGAGTACCATATTCAGGTAAAACTCCTAACTTTTTCAAATCTTGTCGAATGTTACCACCACCCCCTTTTTTTTTTTTTTTTTTTTTTTTATATATTACTGAAAAAAAAATTAAAATCTTCCTAGATAAAAAAGTAAGAGTAACAAATAATATATATAAAAGAAAAATAACTCTCATCTTAAAACTCAACTTTATAAGATTAAATTAAACTCGCAACTTAAATTTTAAAACATTATGTCGGTATCCATAACAGAATCGACATATAGTTATTTCCTCTATTTCAAACAATTTTTCTAGTGAACTGGTGATGGAGACAACTACCTCTTCTAGTCTAGACATAAAAATGCGAAAAATAACTTGGTACATGACAACAATTTGACATGAAATGAGAGAATGTCATTAGTCGAGGTGCTTCTCAATACATTAATTTGCGTAAATCTTTAGATTTGTTAAAGATTTCAGATTGAAGAATAAACAAAAACTCTCGGCAACATTTGATTATTTGTACTATGTTTACAGTCTCAAGCCTCCAATCCACAAGTAGCATACTTGTCAATATCAATGCCACCTCTTTGCCATGGAGTCCTACCAAATGAACTTTCTTCGTACACCATTCAAATGGTAAAGGGTCTTTGTCCTAACGTTGTGGAGATTGTAGAGCCAACCAGAGAAGGATATCAACTTACTCTGAAGCTTAACCTAAATCAGATTCCACGAAACAAAGGTTTGTTTCCCTTAACAACCAACTTGCAGCATGGTTGCCACCCTTCCATTCAACTCAATAGTAATATAATAATTGGTGGTTATGATTTACAAACATTTTATTAATACAATCAGTGCAAGATCAATGACAATAATGGTATTGCATAGTAGAAATGTTAATGCATTGATGTTTGACTATCTAGTTTTCCTTTAATTTAAGATTCAACTAGTGAATTGAAACTTAATGTTCGTCACAAAATTTTCATTATCGCTGCATAACTGTTGATATTCATACACACTACATCTGGGTTCAAGCAATCCCACTTAAGAGTTCAAATGAATTACCCTATTTTTACTTCATGTTTAACCTTAATTATGCTCACTCCTTCCATGTTACAGTAATTTACCAACACACACATATAAAGATGTTATCAATATTCAGATTGTCCAAAAAATCATATATAGTCTAGAAAGAAACTTCTTGGTGAGTTATCTGTATAAAAAGAAACACAAATAAACATTGTATGCAGCTCATCAGTAAATAGACTCACATAATCTAACTTGAAATTTAAACCTGAATGATGATGCCAACTCCATGTTCCAGACTATGAAAACGTCATTAGGGAGATTTCCACAGTACATTCAGTAATTCTGAGTTCACAGCTGAAAGAAATATTGTGGAACGTGAATTCTGATGATGCACTTCAAGGGATGTACAAACCCATCAAACTAGTATACCATCCAAGAGAACCTTTCTTTCTCATCAGGCAGGTAATTCCTTGGAAATCAAATTTTTGAACCTGACATGTCAATCGCAGTAGAAGTAAAACAAGAAAACAAGTATAAGAAGACCTTCCAAATAAAATAAACAAGATTACTACAAGGAATAAATATGTTTTAGTTCTTAAACTGTTGTTGATTTTCATTTTTAGTCCTTAAACAAATATTTTACTAGTTTTAGTCCTTGAATTTTTGCCCATTTCTAATTTAATTCTTTGAACTTTTCCTCCTGTGACGTCAAGATTCTTTTGTTTATGGAAGAAAATTTTAGGGACTAAAAATAAAAACTACCAAAAGTTTAGAAACTATAACATGTTCGATCCTTACAAAAATATATGGAGTAATATCAGATAAAACAGTGTAATGTAAGGTATAAATAATCCATGTACATCTCGTCATGTACTTAGGAAGGTTAAAACCTCAATCAAATGATGAGAACCACCATCACTGCAGAATTGTGTGAGGTATGCAAACAAGTCAAGAAGAAATATGCCATATTATCTTCAATTAATTATTTGAATTTTGAACTTGGAATAACTTACTGATATCTTAGTTCAAATAGTCAACAACAACCACTGAGAAACCTCTATCCCTTCCATATTTTTGTTTGCCTATAACAAGTCCTTCCAAATTTAATTATATTCCACAAAAAAAATAAAACTTCAACCAAGTAACCAAAGAAAACTCATTACCAACTTAATGGTCTGTTAAAGTTATTCATATTCTAATTTTTCAATATTGATCAAATAATACATGCTGCATGCAGCCACAAAGAATCATAGCAATATTCCCGATTCGATTCAGAGAAAAGTCAGATGTGATTATTGCCACAGCTTTCTTTCAGGTCTGTAGATGTTAAAGCACAAACAAGTAATTTATGTTCAACTCAATGTGCTCTCATCTCAATTATTTACTATCTATGACAGGAGCTAGTGGATGTGGGAAGTTCAGATAAATTGGCCAAGGCACCACCTTGCACCTGGTCAGCCATTCCTCCACCAGAGTTAAGGGGAGAAGCTTTAGAGGATTTGAGTACCAATGGAGGGTTTTTCACTTTTGGTATATTATTATCCTCTAGCAATTATCCCATGAACTACTTTCCTACAAGCCATTAATTGATGACACAGTTTTGAACTCTAGATTCTCCAAAAAACACTTTTTAGAGAAAAAAATAGAAAAGAAAAATGAAATAAATTTCTTCATAGACTAAATCAAGCTTGTGCATAAACTAATTTATTATCATTTTGGATAAGCTATATGAGAGAGTTTCTACAAATTAGCTAATACATAAGCTAACTTTAGCTTATACAAAAGCTTATTATATTTTTTCTTTCAAGAAGTACCTATACAGAAATTTATCCAAACAGACCCTAAGATGAATTCCAAGGCATCTTTGACTGACAACTTTTTGATGTTCGATAGATATCTCGTCTCGCCATGTTGAAGGCAATAGGCTAGACAAAACTGTCTGGAATCTATTAAATTTTAATACCTACGTTAGATACCATGTAAAGGTACATCCATATTATTATTGCTTCTTAATGAGTACTTAAAAATCACTTGATTTCTGACATCTTTGACTGACATCTGCACTACAGAGCACCAAAGGTTTTATTCAAAGAAGGATGAGGAAACGTTTGGAAAGTTTAGTTGAGGTACAGATGCACCTAAATCACAACATTAAGTTCATTGTCTGAACAAAGATATTTGTATAAGCAGCATTAAGACATGAAAGATATATTGAAACCTAAATGGGATCAACCGTATGCTTAAAATCCCTACCAAAAGGCATTTCCTATCCCGGAAACAACTTTGTTTGCATAACAGACAGATCCACCCAAAATAGCTAAACCTAATTAGATAAATGTTGATCTTTTTGTCTTACATGCAGGTCCTGCACCAAACGAACTCAGAAGAAACTGAACAAACAAAACAACATCAAGGTCTGCCTTCTGCTAACACATTTCAATATTGACAATATAATTCACAAATTAAGGAGACAAACCATAGCATAAACTTGTTTTTAGAAATATCCCTTAAAGGCTATACTGGTTAATTTTTGTTTATACTAGACACCATACTAGTGTTATGGTATACACTTTGTATTCATAGATAAGAATGAGAGCAATATAAAGTAAAAATTGATAAAGTTATCTGCCAGCAAGCCAATTATTCATTCACAATTTATTTTCAACATGCAGTATATAGGTACACGAAGAAACTGGTAAGATCAACAAAATATGTCATCCTGAAACAAAGATGGGGCACCTTTGGCAGAAAAATAAAAAGGATCCGATTCCGCCTTAAAATTCATGGATTTACACGATTTCGTCAACGATGGTTGAGGTTCCCAAAATTTTCAACAGGATATACAAAAATAGAGTAGAATTTTGTGCAGTTATTATTTCTTATGTAATATATGGAGTTCATAAAGATGGTCCAAGAAAATATGTACTTCACTGCACTAGTTTCTCATACATACCTAACTATAAAATTTATTGGGACTTTCGACAATTTGATTGTAAACAAAAAAGGAGGATATTCATTTCTCTAGGCATCTACCAAATTTGTAACATTGAAAGTGTTGTGTCAATGTCTAACAATCATAATGAAGTTTTATGCTGAAATGTTTCACACAGGACGAGTGAAATTCCCCTAAAAGGGGTTCTCTATAAATGTTTATTTGATTTGAGCATTCAAATAGAGAAGTTTAAGACTGAAAAGTGAAATGCCATAACAGGTCTCTTATCTCACTTTTAATTACTGTCATCGAATTCATGAATTCTCACCAAGGACACTTTTTACATCCATAGCTTGAATAATTATATTAGAAAACAAGGAAACAACTCCAGCTGCTTGAAAACTCTCGGTTAAAATTCAAGGTTCATCTAGACTCATTGACAACCAGGTGTTATATGGTTAAAAAGGTGCTCCTAAACTATTGAAGGTTTAAAACCAAACCTTCCTCCAGGTCATAAATTAATCAGCACAATCATCTATCGAAGTACAGATACTCAAACTATTAATATGGTTCCCTATCGCATGTTTTTAGTCTTCCACATGAATTTGAACTTAGTCCCAACAAGCAGTCTTTACAAGTGATCTCCAACAGCAAAATGGCATAACTTCCATTGATTGTAATTATAAACATATATTGCTCAAAACATGATGACAGGAAATATTGTTCAAAATATCTTCCATTGATTGTAATTGTAATTGTAACTTGTAAACATATATAGCTCAAATATCATGACATGAAGCATTGCTACAAATGTGAGATCAGTTCAATACAACACAAACTAAATAAAGGTCAGTAAGCACAGCCTACCTACCTAGCAAACAAAAAACCAATTCTTCACAATGCACACTTCCCTTTCTGTGTTTCTACCAAAACCATTCACATTTCACTCCATCTCCAGCTCTGGAAGACCCCGAATCCGCGAGCTCGCGGATTCGATCTCAGCCAGCAACGACCCCCTTGCCTCCCCATACCTCATGCTCCTATTACCCCCCAACATCCCAAACGCCCCAACAACCAAAACCATCACCCCAATGGCATGAACAGTGAACAAAAACCACATCAAAGCAACACCCCTCAAACTATCCTCATCAAGATCACACCGCACATCAACACTCTCCTTCTGGGGCCCCAAAATAGTGATCTTTCCACACCCCTTCAGTCCAAAAACATCAGTGTACAAAGAAAACCCCACTTGCAACAACCAAGTGCCCTTAAACACCAACCCAGAGGACAACAAAAACTCAGCAAAAAAAGCTGACGGCTTAAACGCCAAGTAAATGCAAGCACCAGCACACACCAGAGTCAACCCACCCAAAAGGCCATACACAGCACCGGCAAGACCTGACACCCCTTTACCCATCACAGAATACTCCACCAAGAAAACAACCCCACCAAACAAAAAAACAAAACTTTCATCAATCAGCGATGCTCCCACGTGCTCACGGACTAGGATCAAAATGACCAAGACCCAGAAGGCCAAAACCGCTAGTGATTGTTGGAAGAAGGAGAATTTGTAAGTGGGGGGCCCAGAAAAGGAGAAGAAGAGGAAAAACTCGAAGAAAGAGAAGATGGGGAGTGCGATGAGGAGAGCGTAGAGATCGAGGGTCTTCCATTTTGGGTCGGAGAAGTACCAAAGCTTGGAGCGGAAGTGAGAGGGGTTGTGAAGGTAAAGGGAAGAGGAAGAGAGTAAGCGGCGAAGGCCAACGGGGACGAACAGAAAGAAACCGGACAAATGGGTCGCCAACGATGCCATCAGTTGTACAGTTATGTTGTTTGTTAAGGTTGTTGTTGTCTTGTGTATCTTTCTCTTTTGGTTTTCTCTGAATCAAAACACAGGAAATTGCAAATTGGCATGAATCAGAAAACAGAATTAGTCCTTGGGTTGTGTCATGTGTGAGACTGAGACTGATTCCACCTCCAAATTAGAGTTATTATTAATATCCCCTTTATTTTTACTAGCACCAAAAAATGCACTTTTATAAAAAAATATTTTTATTTTTAAAAAATAATTATATATATGTGTATTTTTTTTTAAATATAAATTAATTAAAAAAAATATAATATAACACTTGAATATAATTATCTTTAAAAAAGTGAAATACAAAAAGATATCATTTTTATATATTTTTATAGATCTTTAAATAGAAATTAGTGAGAAAAAAATATAAGACAAGAGTATAATTATCTTTTTAAAAAATAGACACTAAAAGATATTTTTTTTTATTTTGTTATAGATTTACTTTATTGTAGTAATTTTACAATTTACATTTTCTCTTCTCTTAGACTCTATTTGGTTGAAGTGAGAGAAATAGAAGAAATCATAAAATAGGTAAAAATTATTTTAATAAGAAATATAAGAAATAAAGTAAAATTTGTAATTTTTATATAGTAAAACTTGATAATAAATAAAGACAAAATAATATATTATATAATTAGTATTTATCTTATAAAAAAGACGCTTTTATAATAAAATAAGTTTAAACAAACAAATCTAATATATGTAATTATCATTTTACTTCTCTCTTTATATTTACATATAGTAGTGAGATTATAATTTTTTTATATTATATAAGTATAATCGATTATGTTAATTGGCACAATCAATTATATTATCTTAGTTATTTTTTTGTTCTAGTTGCATAATGAATTATCTTGTTAAAATAGTTGAATATAGTAACTTATTATGTTACCTTAGTTCATTATTATTATAAATGGATAATGTATTAATGTGTCAAGGTGGTGGAACATGGTGACTCATTATGAGGTTAAATTTGTAATTATAGATGATAGTTTTCCAATTCCATAAAAATCCTTGCATTTTAAAGAGTGTTTATTGTATGAGACTCACCTATTATTCTTTATAATTCTTCTTAAATACCCCCACTAAACATGAGTGATTTTGTTAAATCCACTCTAATTTATTCTCTCCCCTCAAATTCCTCTTCAGTCACCTTCACCAAAGTGATTTATTAACATCATTTATGTTTAAACATGTTTTTAATCTTTCATATAGAAGAGGTAAATTTGTTTTAATTCTTCAATTTTAAAATTTATCTTTTAATTATATAATTTGAAAAAAAAAACTTTTAGTCTTTCTATTCAAATGTTATTTGTAAAATTGTTAAATAAAACTCACTAATAATTAAATATATAGCATGTACATTTACATATTAGTATTTTTGTTAGCAAAAATATTATATTAAATTCAATTAATATTACATAATTATAATAATTTATTACCATCAAATATGTTACTAATGACTTTGAGAGATTAAAATAATTTTTTTAAAAAATATAAGACTAAACAAATTAATTTTAAATTTAAAAGATTAAAAATAATTTACTCTAAAATTGAGATAGTAAAAACATATATAAGTTGATATGACATAATTTTTTTTTATAACGACTCCAATTAATATCAAAAATGTTTTAATTGAGGTGTCACTAACAAGAGTTTTAATATATATCCTCATAAGTAGGGATGACAAATATACTCGTACCCGCAGGTAATACTCGAACCCGTCCCGACTTTGACGGGGAATACCCGGTTTGACCGGGTACGGGTACGGGTAAAACCCGATATATTAAATCGGATACGGGTATGTACTTACCCGCCCCGTACCCGTACCCATACCCGTTCCCGTTCCCATTTTTAATTAAATACTCACTTTTAATTTAATTATATTAAAGAATTTTAGTATTTTTTATGTGTAATTATTTATTATAATATGAGATAGAGAAATAATATAATTATAATTATAATATAATTAAAAATAATTTAAAAATATTATATTTTAAAAAAATAATAATAAAATAAAAAATTTGACGGGTACGGGTATACCCGATACCCGACGGGGACGGGGATGGGGATGAAAATCACATACCCGACGGGTACGGGTACGGGGGCAGGTATGGGTTTGGCTCCCGGGGACGGGGCCGGGGATCATGTGTGACCCCCTTACTTCCCCAACACATATATTGTAATAAATCTTTTAATTACAGTAAAAGGGTTCACATGAGAAACTTCGAACAACCACATTAGAAATATAAAACATAAAATACAAGAGTTTTTACAAATTGTTTTCAAAATAATATTACAGTACCAAATTCACATAAATATTTCGTCCTAAAAATCCTCTGCCCCGATGTCATAATATCAGAGCATTTCCCAAAATAAAATTGTTGGCATCCTATATGCCACTTGCAGCTGGATCCTCTTCACCTAAAATATCCACAATTTATACGGTGAGAAAAGAAGATATCTATATGCAAAGTACATCCAAACACACCATATTAAAATCTCATCATATTTCTTTATTTAATAAAATATTTACGAGCATGTACCATAATTTATGAATCAATCACAATCCATTTAGATTTTATATTTAATATTATCATTTTTACCTTTCCTCATTCACATCAATATAACAATTATTTCAACATCCATAATTCATGTCAATCTCACAATTAACACTATGCCAAGACCTCGCCACATCTGACACAAGTGATACAGGTTAATTGCCTCACTCAACCCACACCAGACCAGGGTCATGCCCTCCCTGTAGCATCACTTACCCAGGGGCCATGCCATCCCTAATCATTTGGTGTGAGAAAAACACAATCACATTACAATCAATACAATCTCTTGCAATTAACCCTATGTCAGGGCTGCCATAAACGACATAAGTGGTGGTGTTAACTGTCTTACTCATCCCACACCATGTTAGGGTCACGCCCTCCCTGTAGCACCACATACCTAGGGGCCGTGTCATCCCTAGTCATTGATATGAGGCACCACAATCACAATCAAAATCACATTTATACATCATCTCATCTTATAACTCAAATTCATATCACGTACGCAATTCCATATCACATATATAACAGATAAGCTCAATAAAATAGGATTTACATACCCCTCAAGCAATTCACATCAATATCATTCATTCATAACAAGTAATATAGCAATAACTTTCATTAATATAATAAGCAATCGAATAATTAATATAACAGTAAAACCCCTAATTATTCCAAATTCTAGCTCCCCGCATTTTCCTTACAATTCATTCTTCTTCCCAGATCATCATTCCTACACTTAGGCAAATTTATAAACCTCAACACAGATAATTTCAATAGAACCAATAATTCTCCAAATCAAATAATTGTAAAATTAATCATAATCCTAAGTAATTCTTCCTCTACCCAATTCCCTCATGTACTATACATATAAATAATTCCATTTTCCCCCGTACCTGGATAAATAGGAACTTGGGCAGAACCTCCTCCTCTTTTTCCTTAAACAGTAACCGGAATTAGGGCAGAACCTCCACCTCTCTCCTTAAACAATAACCGGAACTAGGGCAGAACCTCCTCCTCTTTTTCCTTAAACAATAACCGGAACTAGGGCAGAACCTCCACCTCTCTCCTTAAATAAGGACCGGAACTAAAACTAGAGCAGAACCTCCTCTTATGGATTCCTCTTTCTCTCTCTCCTCTTCTATTTCTCTTTCTCTCTCTCTTCTCTTCTCCTTCTCTCTCTAAAATTTTCACCTCTCGGTCAGTTATAAATTTTTCACCTCCCTGCCCCTATTTATAGGCATTCTGAGGTCCCTGGAACGGCCCGTACTGATTTCGGAACGGCCCGTTCTGGAACCTTCGAATCTGTACAAATTTTTCAATCGGAACGACCCGTTTCCAAAAAGCAGAACGACCAGTTCTAAAACTGGAACGACCCGTTCTCAATCCTAGCAGAACGACCCGTTCTCCCGTTGGAACGGCCCGTTCTCCTTGTTGGAACGGCCCGTTCTAGGCCCGTTCCCAACCTAAAATTTCAGTATCCTTTTATTGCTTGGAACGGCCCGTTCCAACTTTGGAACAACCCGTTCCAAGTTACCCATTTATCCCTCAAACTTTAATAAAATTGCAAAAATGCCATTACTATTTACAAAAATACCCCTAAACTTAATAAATTTACGAAAATACTCAATAATAATATTAAAATAATAGGATGTTACATCATGAAACCTGTACCCACCCCACTCCATTGCCATCCCTACTCATAAGCAATAAAATACATGTTAATTAGATATAGATTTGATTAAGACAAGATATTGTCATCTATAATATTTCTTCAGTCCTGTATCCGGATGTGTAACTCATTTTAAACTATTTTGTGAGAATTCTATAAATGAACAATATATACTAAAATGAATTACAAGTCTTGACACAAGACTAAGTATTTAATGTATATTATTAGTTACTATAATTCTCATATAGTTTAACAGTTTTACAACTATTCTCATATATTATTATGTCTTGACCTCACTGAAATACCAAGCAAAATTGATAGTTCTTGGACATTAATCTACCTAATAAAGCACACCATATGGCAGAGTTACTTATGTTTTTATTTGGCTTGAAAATTCGATAGGTCAAATTTGTGAACCTGACCTTAACCAAATCAAGATTCAACGATATTTAAGACAATAGCATGTCAACTTATATTAGTCTAAGTATTATATTTAATTTACTTCATAATACTATATATGTTAAATTGTAGATATATACTTATAATTAAGACATATTCTATGATATATATTTTACGATAAATGATATCAATATAAATATTATGTCATGTTAGTCAAAATGATATTTATAAAGTTAAGAAGTTATATTATTAATATATAATTGTGTTAGAAACATATTTGTAAAAAGAATATATAATATTAGACGTATTTAAGATGGATCAGAGTATATTCCAAATCAGTTTATAAAATATATTGAGTCTAATCTTTTAATCTTGAACAGGTTGAAAATCTATTTGAGTAGGAACAGGTTGGTGTAACATAAAGTCATGAAGTGTCCTACCATATATCCTTCAAGAGCTTGATCCTAAATCAAATGTCCACC